GCGGGCCCGCTGCCTGCAGGCCAGGGTGGCATGGGGAAGATGCTCTGCACCACCCCTCCATGGGCTGTATCAAAGTGCTGGCCACTTCCAGGAGTAATGCAGAGCCAGGGGAGAGGGGAGCCTGCCTTAGTCTCCCTGCTACCGTACTGTTGGCAGCCAATCTTCATCTGATGCATTAACCAGGCAACCAAGTTTCCCCAGCACCCTCTCCCCCTGCAGGCCAGGGTGGCATGGGGAAGATGCTCTGCACCACCCCTCCATGGGCTGTATCAAAGTGCTGGCCACTTCCAGGAGTAATGCAGAGCCAGGGGAGAGGGGAGCCTGCCTTAGTCTCCCTGCTACCGTACTGTTGGCAGCCAATCTTCATCTGATGCATTAACCAGGCAACCAAGTTTCCCCAGCACCCTCTCCCCTGTGTAGGCACATGCCCTCCATGCCTTTATTTCCCCACAGTTAGACTCCTAGAGCAAACACAAAACAGTGACTCCTCTGCAGTTCTAGACAAAAATATTTGTCACCTAGCATCAGCAGGGAAAGACGAGGAGCTCGCTTTTGGCCACGCTGAGTTTGTTAACAAGTGCCCAGAGATGTTAGAAATCCTGGACTAAAATTTAGTATGAATGAAGACAGATCCAGAGCAGAGAGGTAAAGAGGGCTGAAGGATTCTGCATTAGCAGATCTCAGTGCAGGATCTGACTGCACCTGTATCGGTGTTTCTCTACTGTAAAGCATTTAGGCTGTTACTTTGTTCTTTCTGTTGTGATAATTTTATGGATGAAGTACAGCAATCCAAGGTTAAAAAAATAGATCTGATTTTATTTTGATTGGTGTTGCTTTAAGCTACATTCATGCTATTTACTCTGAGGCTTCGTCTTCACTGCGAGGGACTCATTAGCATAAGTTGCAATCTCATTAGCATATTTACTGCCATTTCTTTTTGCTAAAGGGGTTTTTTGTGTACCTCTCTGGGACAGGTATAAGGATCTCGCGCAAAACGGTGTTCTTGCACAAAAAGTCCACACTGCTTCTTTTGGTGCAAAAACCCCTTGAGCAAAAAGAAATGGCAGAAAATATGCTAATGAGATAGTGACTTATGCTAATGAGGGACTCATTAGCATATTTTCTGCCAGAAGATCTCACAGTGAAGATGAAGCCTCAGATACTGACCCTGCAAACAGTCATTCAGGCTTTAGTGTGAATGAATACTGGAACAAAAGGCGTGTATAGAGTTAACACATGATATTTGCATGATTACATTTCCAACAGATTACATTGGTATTAATGGCTTAAGGTAAGAAAGAAAAGGATTCTTTTTAACAAAAATCTTTGAGTGTTGTAGAAACAATTAATCAATGCATGGTAAATTGTTAAAACTGGAAGAACTTTACCATGAATCCTGTTTATTTCCATTAAGTTCTAGAATCTGTTTGGAGAGCAGTATTGGAAACCATTAAGGCCAGATCTTTGCTATCTAGTGTAGTTTTGGCACTTACGAGGCAATGGGAGTACATTGTAGCAAGCACTAGGGCTGTGTCTACATTGGAAAGATTTTGCACAAAAGTGCCTGCTTTTGCGCAAAATCTTGCTGCCTGTCTACAATGGCTGGGGGGGGT